TTTGGTTTCCAATAAGGAGCTGCATAAGAGCCTCTCTGACTGCGTTTGCTAGGTTGGAGGAAAACAATAGAATGGGTCATTCAGCAGTCTTAAAGGGGGCGGTGGGGGGGTTTGTGGGGGGGGTTTAATAGCCCGCTTGGGTTAGTGTTAAACAGGCCTGAGAGGCCGGTCGAAAAAAAAAGGAGCAGAGTAGTTCTCTGTGCCAACTGGTACCTTCATGCACACAGGCGAATATCAAAAACTGGGAAAACGTGCCCAAAAATATCTTTAGACTGTCGTATATCTGCAGAAATATTCAAGCAGTGGAAGAGGCCTTAAATCATTTAATATTTCTCCTAAACTCTCTCTGGACCTGCAAAAAGGCATATTTTTGACTGGGATGGTGACTCAGACACACCGCCCCTCACACTCTCAGTCTGCTGTAATGCATGTGTGTGTTTGCTTCTCGACTAAAGTAAGAGCTTATGATAAAGCCTGACAAAGATATGATTCCCACATACACTAACCGAACGCTCCACGGTAGCGTAGTCCGATTGCTTGCAATATTTATGACATGAGAAATCTGACCGGGTGCCAGTTTCCAAAGAGTAGTCTTTTACTGACGGAGGCCTTTCACAGTGCTATAAAAAACTGCTCAGGGTGGGGAAGAGAATTCACTTCTTGAGGGTTATAAAGAAAAAACTTAATCTTAATACCTTAATGACTTTCAGTTAAGTGAAATGGGTTTAAGTTTAAAGTTCATTCCCTTTTCTAATTATGGATCATTTCAAGTTTCTGGTTAAATCCTCAGCCTAATGGTAAAGCCTGCTTTAGTTCTAAATTTGCAGGAAAATTGAACCCAACAAAATAGTGTCTTTAAACTCTTTGTGAACCCTTTCAAAGAAAGAGTTCAGATTTATTTCCCATTACACCCATTCGAGTAAATATCTTTCTATTCACCCATTCTCTATAGCCGCTTCATTCCATTCTGGATGGTTGAGTTCAACTTTAACTTCATGCAAATCTTCTATTGACATGTTCAAAGGTCTTTTCACCTATGTGGACACATAGTGGACTAGTATACATTTGAGTTATCATCAGAAAAATTAATAAGTTTCTGCTTTTTGCCTCTAAAAAAAGTTTCTATTTTGCAATTGTCATTCTCCTCAAACCACTCAGCTACATGTATGAATGCACCCTCATCCTGAGAGAGAACAATCCTATGAGATGTCCATCTCAGGATGAAAAGGACAAGGGCAGCAAAAGGCTAAACATAGCTCAGGAGGACCACTGCAGAGGTCACGGAGACATGCCTTTCCTTTAATATATCACTTTTTTTGCGTCTGACATTAAAAGCTGCTCTCAGTGCCACAAGATTTCTCTTCATAAATTATTTATTTCCTGTGCTGCAGGTTCCTTCCAGCTTTTCCTGTGCAGAAATCTCCTTTCCCAGACCCCCTCTTCGCCATTGGACTTTCATGGAGGACGAGGCCAAAACCGGAAACTGACGGAAAAATGAAATATTCAGATTTGATGTGTGTTTAGTTTTTCTTTGGCGACAAATAAAACACCTGAAACTCTATTAGTTTGGTAATAAAGAAGCTGGGATGTTTTTTCAAGTTCATTTGTAAAAATCCTCTTTCTAATTTATAAAACCTTCATAAAGCATGTGTTAACTATTTAAATAAGAAAAGTAAAGCTTTGCTCAACGGATGTGGAGGAAGCTTTTCTCTATGCATAAGTCAGGAAAGTGTCTGAGTGTTAACTTGATATGACTTAAAAAATGCATGATCACAGAAAGAGCTGCAAATTATTCAGAAATTACATATTTTACAGCAGCTGTCACACATTAGATTATAGCGTTGGAAACTGTTAGCATGTTTATCCGGGGACTAGTATAAATGTCTCTACTGTGACAAAAACAATCCTCGGAAAGGCACTTAGGAGCCGGAGGGGACGCGGGAGCAGATTACCTTTGGCTGCTGCACATCCTTATTTAATGCTCCATCCCTCATCTCAAACATTGTCTCTCTCAGTCTCTAATTTTAATAGCCATCTCCCTTTAGAACTCCACTAGGGAAACGGGGCAAAGGCAGGCAGAGGCAGGAGATGTCTGATAGATGAGCGGGCCACAGGTTCGATGGTCAGTCACAGACAGAGGCCAGTGGGAAATTAGAGGGGAGTGAGAGATAGAGCAGCGATTTGACCTGCACCTTTTTTGCTTGCCTGGGGCTTCCATAACAAACCCCAAAATCTTATGAAGACTGGAAGCAAGGGGTCCTTTGTGGGTTAGAAGTGGTATCCAGGACATCCTGTTAAGAACCAGCGTGGACTTCAGGGTCTTGTGAGAATGCTGCCCTTTGACCTCTCTCCTGCTGTAAAGCTAATGTCTTCACCAGCTGCGGTTTCCTTCTCTGTGCCATTGTTTAGCCATCGTGACCAAGCCAGGCCGCAGTTAGCCCGTTAGCCGGGCATGGGAAGTGGCCGGAGGCTGTCTCCCTTCTCTGCCTTAATCCTCAGGGAACTTCTCTAGGGAAGTACTTCACTTAAGTGGGTATAAACACACTATAAACCAACGATTTTTGCGACATTTGACCCTTGCTCTTTGCATTAAAAAAAGAAAAATGGCAAGGAACAACACAAGGAATTGTTAGTAATCATTAAATGGGTCACCAACAACAGCCAAACAGACTAAAGATGGAATCAAATGTGAGGAAGCACCCAACACGCTGTTTTGCTAGCTTGTGATTACTTGGAAATGCAGCCGAGAAAAGATTCAAGCCACTAAGCCACCTAAAGAATTGCTTGTTTTAAAAAAAAGCGTGTTCCCTATTTATAGAAAGTCTGCTCCAAATGTGTGTGAGTTATGATGACAGACTGAGAGTTTCACCATGGCCTAATTGAATAAAGAGGAGGATCATATATTTGGACAATCATGGCTTTATCTGGCCCGAACTAAACATACAAAGTTATTTCAACATTTTACAGCTGAAAGAAATTACTTGCGCAGAGATAGGGCGGAGGGAGGGAAGGGGGGGGGGGGGTACGTACAGCTTCATTTCACACCTTTCAGTCAAGATTAATATAAGTGAGCTGGTGAAGAGGAAAAAAGATGACAGCTGAAGGATTTACTACATTAGCAAAAATGAACATAAGATTGAAAATTTATGGAACCTAGTATAAAAATCAAAGGCAGTCTGCATATCTGACCCTTAGAGAGAATAAGACAGGAATAAGACAGGCACAATCTTCACTTTGATTGTTTAGCTGCTTTTTTTTTCCAAACGTAGGCCCATACAAGACCAAAAACACCTGAAATCCCTTTTATATAATCTGTAGCACTATTAAAACCTAGTTTAAGGGACTTCATCCCGTCTTTTTTTTCCATTCGGGGCTCATCC